AAAAAAAAAAAAAGCAACAAATTTAAGGTGTGTATGTGTGTGGCTCAGAGTACAAGGTTTGCTAGTATGTTTAAGGATTAAGGTCCAGTCCTTCGTACCCTAAAAACAGATGGCTGGGGAGAAGCTCCAGTGAGTAGATACTTGCTTTAGAAGGCTGGCAACCTCAGGGAAGTACTGCAAATCCAAGATGCAAGGAAAGAACTGACCCTAGAAAGATGTTCTCTGACCTCCACAAGCATACCATACACAAGCACCTAAAGTCTTTCACCTCTCTCCTTCTCTCTCTCTCTCTCACACACACACACACAAACACACACACTATATTTAAACATAAAACAAGCTTGCCCTAAGCACACAAATATCTACAATATAAGTGTTATTTCACATCTTCCATGCTTAGGAGTCAAGGTCTAGTTTTTCTTGTCTCTGTGGAAGGAATTATCTTTTCTGCAGGGATTTGCTGACGCTAGTGTCATAAGTATATTTGCTTTCCATTCTTGTTTCCAGACTCTCTGTTCCCTTCCACTGCTCTTTCTGTGTCCATCCTTGCTCCAGTACCATACTGTTTTAAGTACTTCCCTTTGTATACTGAAACTCCTATCCAGCAGTATATGCCTTTTGGTTTAGTTGTTTTACTTAAAAGCTGTTTAGATAGTCTAAAACTTCATATCCCTACTCATTTTGTTATATGGTTGCCATTAAAAAAATTAGCACAGCAAGATTTTGAATGACATTACCATCCTTCTGGGAGGAATTGTTGCTAAAAAGGTAGTATTTTTGTCTTGTGGTTATTCTTTTTTAAGACAGTATTTTCACTGTATAGCCTTGGCCAGCCTGAAAGTCATTTGTAGACGCAGCTAGCCTTGAATTCACGAAGATTCACTTGCCTCTGAGGCGCATACCACCAACCTACATATGCTGCTGAGTTTTAATAACAAGACATTTAGTCCACAGGAACACTGTTCCTGTCCATTTGGTGAGGTCTCTCAATTCTCTAAATGTTGGTTTAGACTTTCTAAGGACTGTGTTAGCACATCTACCATTACATTCCTAAGTGTCAAAGGCTTAGGGCACACTTCATTGTTACCTTCAATTTTATTTACTAATTACTTGTGCTTATTCTACAGAAATACAAGTAGCTAGTGACTCCTGTCCAGTGGTCCAGAAACTTTGTTATTGTCACTCAATGACTGTGATGATTTCGGGTATTTGTTAAGATTTATGTTTCATATTTATTTGTGTGTGGGTGCATTGTGCACACGTCTCCATGTGTGTGGATGCCCACAATGACCAGAAAAGTGAGTCAGATATCCTGGAGCAGTTGTGAGCCACCTAGCATGGGTCCTCTACAAGAGCAGCAAGTATTCTTAGCCATTCCTCTAGTCCTGGTTTTATGTAATTTTATTTTTTAATTTGTATTCTTTTTAATTATGTGTATGTGTGTGTAAGGCTGGGTATGTTCATGTAAGTGCGTGGGTGGGTGGGTGGCTATGTGCATGTTAAGTGCAGTTGTCCATAGCAGCCAGAGGAGCCCCCTGGAGCTGGAGTTATGAACAACCTAATGTGAACAACCTAATGTGGGTGCTGAATTGAACTTGGGTCCTCTAGAAGAGCAGTATATGCGCTTTATTGTCAGGAGCCACTCTGTGAAAGGAGCTCTCAGTAGCAGGTGGGCTTTCTGGAAGGGGATGGAGTACTTTGCAAGGTCTGCACTATGGTACACCCCAGAACTGCTTCCAGTCCCTGACGCTCACTCCTCGTGCACGGCTGCATTTCTCTATGGTCTGGTGTGGTCACCTTGTGGGTGTTTACTGCTGTTCAGATGAATTAATTCCCGATTATGGAATTCCTGACTTGAGCCAAACAATTTTAAAAGTTAAATAAACAAATAAGAAAGTTAATGGCTACGATAAAAACTTTAGTGGACCTCCAGATGCCTCACTAGGAGACATATTTGTGGCCTCAGATAGCCTTCACTCACCCTGGTATACACCATAAATACAGTCAAGTTGGTTTAAACTTCCCATGAACCCGAATGATAAGCAATGTCTAATTAAGTACAAGCCTTTAGGTCACTATACACAAACTGTTCTGTTGTAATTCCTTATAGCTTGTCACATATGGCATCATATACTGTCATTTTAAATTTACTTTGTTTCTCGGAATGAAAGACAGATGAGATTATCGCCCCAAGGACAGCTGGAAAATGTGTAGGAAAGCCAGTCCTAATGGAAAAGATATATTTTCTTGTAACTTTCAGACCCTGTTAACTTTTAGGCCTTGTTAACCTTTGTCACTCTGAACTCACTATGAATTTATATAATGGACACATAAATAAGAAATGTTTAGTTTTAAAACATGTAACCTGTTCTATTTTAGAATTAATCTGTTTTTGTGGTTAATTTTTTGACTATGAAGTAATTCCTTTTCTGGGAACTTTGCCTCAGACATGTAAAGGCGATTATAATAAACAATGGCAACACACACACACACACACACACACACACACTCACACACACACACACACCATTGGCAGAAGCCCGGTAGTGGAATTCCATTGAATGAAAGCTGGCTGGAATTTGATGTATCTATGAGTTGTAAATATGTATATAGATATATGTCTGTTTTTTTGTTCATATGTTACATGAGTGTATGTCAATTGTCTGTCTGTGTGTAAGGAGCTCCTTTATATTGTCCATTGGATGCGTGTATGAATATGTACTGATCTATATGTCTGTTTGTCCATGTGTATGTATGGGCTGATGCTATGGAACTGGCAGCCTTAACTTGCTACAGTTTCTGCAGAGGGAATGCTGGCAGAAATCAACATCATATGTAACATCATATGTAATATGTCATATGTAAGTTTGTTGAAGTTAAAGTTCTTAACTTCATCCACCTTTTCCCTTGAACACGTGTGAATGAATGGTCTTTGCTTGCTTTCTCCCCCTTTTTCTTTTTCTTACCGATTTACAAACAAGTTCACAGCGATTCAGGATCTAACTACTAGCCTAAGACAAGCAGGAAAAAGTTTACTTTAGCCTGTGGTGACTTACCCCTGTGCAAGAGCTAATATCAGATCAAAGAGCCCCTTTTTACTACCCCTTGCAGTTTTGGCTAGAAGCCTCCTTTTACAGTCCAGGCTGCAGGAATAAAGATGACCAGTTAAAGTTTTCCTCATTAGTAGCAGTGTAGCCAGTCATTAGATCTAGAGAAAGAATCCTGGGCTCCTTCCCCTATTTCTTTTTCCTTCAATCACTTTTTGTGATGTGACCAGCTGCTGATCAATTGCCTGAGCCATCAGCTGGGCGAACCAAGAGATAAAGTGAACAGGGTAATCCACGTCCTGTCCCAGATCCTACCCTGGAACCTGGACCCTTGCCAAGCAGAAAGAGACTTTGACAATTGGACCCGAGAAGACCTTAACACTTTACTGTTGAGTGATCTCTTCAGCCCCTGGGTGTATATCATTTTAAGTGGTTTCTTCATGTAGATATGTCACCTGTAAGTAATGACACTTGCTCTTGCTGCTTTCCAGTATTTGTGCTCTCACATTTCCCTGGTCTGCCAAAGTGTCAGTATGCTTAACATTCTGTTGGGGGGAATTCATTTGTTGTTGCCTTGTTTAAAGATTTGGGGAAAGAATGCTTGCTATTTTTAAGTGAATTTTGATATTGTCATAGAGTAAGGTGTTTTTGTTGTTATTGTTGTTGTGTTTTGTAGACACTGTATTATTTATTTATTTGGTTTTTGGAGGTGGAGCAGGGTAGAGAGATGATCTCTCTGTGTAGTCCTGGCTGTCCTAGAGCTCACTATAAGGTTGAGGCTGGCCTTGAACTCAGAGATCCTCCTGCTTCTGCCTCCCAAGTGCTGGGATTAAAGGGAGGCACCACCACATCCTGTCTACACTTTATTACCTGTTAATGGTTGAGCTGGCCTGCACCGTCATGATGGGTGTCATCAAGATTGTATCCCTCATGTATGACTGGCTTTTACTCTTGTTCTCCTCCGTGTCCTCTCCCCTCCACTCTTTCCACCTCTGCTACTACACTTCTGCTTCCTGTTGTGTGTACCTAGTCCTAAATCTAGATTGTCATATGAGAGAAAACACAGGCTATTTTGTCTTTTGTAGAAACACTTCAGTGGGTTACAGCAGTTGTTTTGTGTTCTCAGTTGCTGATCCTTTGAGATCACAAAGAGGATCTGAACTTACAATGACTTTGCTGTTTTCCTGACCCCTTCCCTGTGCTTAATGTTGATTGACTGTCAAAGCAGCCTTGCCTTTCTGCACTGAGCCTTACTGTGACATGCTGCATGGTTTCCACCCACCTTTCGTTTTTGCTTGATAATCACTTATTTGTTCGTTTCTGGGCCAGCAAGGTGACTAGGGGGTAAAAGTGCTTCCTGCCAAGCCTGATGAACTCATTTCAATCTCTGAAACCCACATGATGAAACCCCTAACCCACAAATTGTCCTCTGACCTTCACACTTGTACCATGGCATGTATACACACACACACACACACACACACACACACGCACGCACACATGCACATGCACGCATGCACCGTCACACACAAATAGATAAATGTTTAAGAAGATATGTTTCTGTTTTGGGGAAAGTATGCTACACAGTTTTGTTTTCTTTTCGTGAACTTCACAAAATCGTTTAGAAACTTGTTTGTTATGAACTCAGTGGCTGGCTCTTTGATCACCTTCCCCTGAGGGGGGAACAGCCTAGCCAGGCTACAGAGGAAGACAATGTAGCCAGTTCTGATGAGACCTGATAAGCTAGGGTCAGATGGAAGAGGAGAAGGACCTCCCCTATCAGTGGACTTCGGGAGAGGCATGGGAAGAGATGAGGGAGGGAAGGAATGAGAGAGGGGCTACAGCGGGGATGAAAAATGAATAAACTGTAGTTAATACAAAAAAATAAAAATTAAATTTAAAAAAAGAAATTTGTCTGTTTTTTTTCTGCTTTATGACATAATTTGTGTAACATATTTTTTCACCCAAATGTTTAGAAGAATCCTTACCAGAAGGTTTATGGATACAAATGTTTCAACTTTTGTCCCAATGAATCTTACCAGACACAAAAACATTCAGATATTTTGCTCTGTGGGAATTTTAGTAAATTTCATTTTATCTCTGTTTTTCAACCCAAGTAAACTTTTTTAGACTATTTTGCTCCTCCCACTTCACCACATCTGTTCCTGTGGTTATGTATTCTTTTGTTTTCTTTTGCTTTGCTTTTGAGTCTGAGTGTCATTCGGTATCCCAGACTGGCTTACAACTTGCAGCAATCCTCTGGTCAGTGTCTAAACACTGCGTGACCCTCAGCATCTTCCATGTCATCTTGTGTCCTGTCTCCTCACTCTGGTAATTCTTTTCTTTGCTGTGTACAGCTTTGCAGCTGGATGCAACACCATCTGCCATTTCCTTTTTTTTTCTCTTGCATTAGTGAGATAGTTTTTGAAAATGATCATTGTCTATGTCTATATCTTGAGGTGTTATTCTTTTCATTTAAGATTTGGAACGCTTCACGAATTTGCATGTCATCCTTACTTGGGGGCCATGCTTATCTTCTCTGTATCATTCCAATTTTATGATATGTGCTGCCAAAGCGAGCCCGAGGAGCTATTCTTGTTTGCCTGTAGCAGTCTGGGTGTTTCAGGTCCAAGTTTAATACATTGTGAGTTTCGGTCTTCCAATCTAGTTTGAGTCTTCTACAAGTAACTACTCAGCTTATCAAAGACCCTTGATGAAAAAGCTTTCATTTCTCCAATTTATGTATATTGGCAACTTTGTTGAGAAATAGTTGTGTTTATGGGTATTATTTTTTGCGTCCTTTCTTAGATTTCATTATGTGTCTCTCTTCTCCCTCCTCTCTTCCCTCCTCTTTTTCACTATCTCATCTGGCTGCTAACAGAGGCTGCTTTTGTCACTACAATTCTGTAGTATAATTTGAACCTATGGGTTGTGATGCCTCCAGCATTGCTCTTGTTTAGTCAGGATTGCTGTTATTATTATTTGGTGTCCTTTGTGCTTCCATCTATATATTTATAGTTCTTTGTAGAATTAAGAATATTACTGAAATTTTGAAAGGGATTGCAGTGAACCTGTACAATATAATTTTAGATAATATGGCAACTTTGCCAACATAATTCCTGCCACCTGAACCATGGACATGAGAAATCTTTCTATCTTCTAGTATTTTCTTAAATTTCTTTCTTCAGCCTCTTACAGTTTTCATGGTAGAGCTCTGTTATACTTGGTGAGCTTTATTCTAGGTATATGTAGAGTCTATTGAAAATGGAATTATTTCCTTGGACTTCATTTTCACTCTGCTTGTTATTGGGTATAGCAATCAGAATTCAGATTTCATACATTGCTCCTTTATTGAAAGTCAGATTAAATGTGTGGAAATCAGAGGACAACTTGTGGGAGTTTGTTCTCTCCTTCCACCACGATTGGTTTGTATTAGTTGAGCCATGCTGCAATCCCATAAACATACACACACACGCACAGCACGGTCATGGCTTATAATCATTTTAATGCATTGTCAAATTAAGTTTGCAAATATTTTATTGAGAAGTTTGATTTCTCTGTTCTTTTCTTACACTCTTGATATCACTTTGGCATCATTACTTTCTTTTCTTTCTGTTTTATGTAGACTTTTAAGGAGCACTGGTAGAATTCAACCATGGATCCAGAAAGTCTTGGTATTTCTTTGCTGAGAGACGATTTCTTATTGCTTCACTCTCTTTGCTTCTTATCTGTTTAGGTTGGCTTAGTTGCCTATTATGTGCCCACCAATCTATCCATTCTTTTTGGATTTTCTAATTTGTTGGTATATAAGTTTGATCCATTGGTTGAATTCTACTGTGAGGCACAATCTCTCCTGAAAAGAAATGTATTTTTAAACATTTATTTATTTATTTATTTACTTATTTACTTATTTACTTGTCTGTGTGAGTGAGAGAGAGAGAACGAGCAAGAAGAAGGTCAAGTTACAAGAAGTACATTAGAAGAAAGCAAAACCAGGAGGTACAGTCACTCTTAAAAAATAGAAACAAATATCTTTTTGAACATCTGTCTATCTATCTATCTATCTATCTATCTATCTATCTATCTATCTATCTATCTATGTGTGTTTATGCATGCCATGGCACAACTTTGTAGTTCCACCCAGTGGGTTTAATAATGTGGGTTCCACAGATTGTAATGAGATCACCAGGCTTGACAGCAAGCATCTTTACCCCCTGACCATCTTGCTGGCCTGGAGACAAACATCTTTTTGTTTTGTTTCGTTTTGTTTTGGTTTGTTTTGGTTTGGTTTTTGAGGCAGGGTTTCTATGCGTAGCCTTTGTTCTGGTAGACTAGGCAGGCCTTGAGTTCACAGAGATCTGTCTGCTTCTGCCTCCTGAATCCTGAGATTAAAGGTGTTCACCATTACCACCCCTTTGACAAACATCTTAAATAAATGATTATCAAGCAAAAACGAAAGGTGGGTGGAAACCATGCAGCATGTCACAGTAAGGCTCAATGCAGAAAGGCAAGGCTGCTTTGACAGTCAATCAACATTAAGCACAGGGAAGGGGTCAGGAAAACAGCAAAGTCATTGTAAGTTCAGATCCTCTTTGTGATCCCAAAGGATCAGCAACTGAGAACACAAAACAACTGCTGTAACCCACTGAAGTGTTTCTACAAAAGACAAAATAGCCTGTGTTTTCTCTCATATGACAATCTAGATTTAGGACTAGGTACACACAATATGGGATCTGTGATTGTATTCTATCAAGTCTTGAAAGAAGAAATAACATCAATGTCCCTTAAACTGTTACAAAAATTCCTCTGAGTTTCAGCATCATTTCTAGTAATGTCCTTTGTAAGCACCCTAATTTATTCATTTAGATCTATTTCATTTGGTCATCTTGGCTCATGGTTTACCCGTCTTGTTTATCAATGCATAAAACCAACTGCTTATTTCACTTATCCTTGTGTTGTTCTTTTAGTCATCAATCTCTACCTTGTTGCTATTTCTTCTCTTCTGTTTTCAGGTTTTGCTTTTGTAATTTGTCTAAGACTGTGAGGAGCATCACTAGGTTTATCGAACTCTCTTTGATTTTTGTTTTGTGGGCACTCATGCCTGTTCACTTTTCTCCCCATAACTGCCTTCAGTGCACCCCAAAGGTTATGTGTTTGCTTGTTTGTTTGTTTTTTATCATCATTGGGTAGTAAAGATTTTAAAAATCTTCCTGGTTTCTTTGCTGAACTGCTAAACATTGAGAAGTATATTATGTAATCTCTGGTAGCTGGTAAAACTTAAGACATAAAACGTGTTCTATTTTGGACAAGGTTTCATGGGCTGATGAGAAAAAAAATGTATGTTCATGGCTAGTGTATAGAATATTTGGTGCAGTTTTCCTTTGAATTTTGTTGATTTCCTTGTTTGGGTGGTCTATCAATTAATTGATTAGAACCCCTGCACAGATGTAGCCCATGGCAGTTCAGTATCCAAGTGGGTTACCTAGTAATGGGAAGAGTGACTGCCTCTGACATAATCTGATTGGCCTGCTCTTTGATCACCTCTCCCCTGATGGGGGAGCAGCCTTAGCAGACCACAGAAGATGACAATGCAGCCACTCCTGATGTGATCTGATAGACTAAGATCAGAAAGGAGGAGAGGAGGACCTCCCCTATCAGTGGACTTGGGGAGTGACATTCATGCAGAAAGGGGAGGGAGGGTGGGATCGGGAGGGGAGGAGGGAGGGGCTTATGGGGGATACAAAATGAATAAAGTGTAATTAATAATAATAATAAAAAAGAATGTGGTATTGAAGACAGTCACTGTTCTTATATCTGGACCTCCCTGATTGTCCATGTCCAGTACTTCTTGATCTATGAAATTGATTGCACCAGTGTGTGAGGAGCTTTTACAGAAAATACTTCTTGCCGTGAGAAACTGAATTTTTCCCAGAGCTTGTAACCAAGTTAGTACCTCTTGAGATTATTTAAAACTGCCTATATAACCTGCTATTCTAATGTGCACTCAGCCTGTTTCAACTGACTTTGAGAAAGCAATGTAACTAACATTACTATGTCCTGGATTTCCCATGTAATCAGCATTTACTGCCTAAGCTGAATGCATAGCTTTAATATTAAACTATGTATGCTTCCATGCCCCTGATCAAGGATTGTGTATGTGTGTATGTTGTGGGAATCATATCCTGAAAGCAGTTAACAGGTTAAAATCAACCAATGGCAAATATCCCATTAATGTTGGAAGCGGCATATGGATATAGGTTGATAACAGCTGTCTGCAGGTTTGAGTGCCATTTTGGGTCAGTTTATGTCAGTAAAGTAACTTCTTCCATTGCAAAACTCAGTTAAAGATTTCTGCATAAAATAATTACTCATTCCTTTCACATAACATGTTTTCTGTGCTATTAAATAAGAACAGATCAAAGCCCTCGTCAGGAACAGTCAAACTTCATATCCACAGCAGACAGACAACAGACAGGCCACAGATCAGAAACTACAGAGAGATAAAGGACAGGGAGAGGGAAGAGGGGAACACAAATCTGGACTCACTATCGGTTCAAACTACTCCAAGAGCAAGTCTCTTGTTTAATTCGTTAGTGCAATGTTGACACACCCCAGCATTTTGTGTATCTATTTACAACTGTTACATTGTTCTGATGGATTGTTCTATTTGTTAAGGTGTACTGACCTTCATTATCTCTTTTTACAATTTTCATTTTTTTTAAATAGTGCAGTTTCTTTTTTTCGTGTGTGTGACAGGATTTCTCTTTGTAGTCAAACAAAGATAGAAATTACAAACCAATTTCTCTTATTAACATAGATCAGTGGTTCTCAACCTATGGGTTGAGACCCCTTTGCCAGTCACATATCAGATATCCTGCATATCAGATATTTACATTATGACTCATAACAGTAGCAAAATTACATTATAACATAGCAATGAGGTAATTTTATGGTTCAGGGTCATCACAATATGAAGAACTGTATTAAAGGGCCACAGCATTAGAAGGTTGAGAAACCCTGACATGGATGCAAACATTCTCTTTAAAATACTTGCAAACAGAATTCAAAAACACACCAAAAAGATCATCCACCACTATCTGAGTATTCTTCTCAGTTAAGCAGGGGTGGTTCAACATACATAAATCGGTAAATGTGATCCACATTATAAACAAACTGAAAGGAAAAAAAAACCCCACATGATCTCTCAATAGATGCAGAAAAGGCCTTTGACACAATCCAATACCCCTTCATGACAAAAGTTTTGGAGAGATTAGGGATACAAGGGACATACCTCAACATAGTAAAGGTAGTTTATAGCAAGCTCATAGCCAGTATCAACTTAAATGGAGAGAAATTCAATTTCTCTAAAATCAGGAACACAACAAGGTTGTCCACTCTCTCCATATCTCTTCAATATAGTACTTGAAGTCTTAGCTGGAACAATAAGACAGCTGAAGGAGAGCAAGGGATACAAATTGGAAAGGAAGAAGTCAAATGCTGTTATTTGCATATGATAGTATACATAAGTGACCCTAAAAATTTCTACCTGGAAACTCTTACAACTGATAAAACTTTCAGCAGAGTATCTGGATGTAAGAGTAACTCACTGTTTTCAGTGACAGATTTTCAAATATGTGTGCCTTGTTATTTCTGAAGCTCTTGATGAATTGTGTATCCATTTTCTTCAGCTAAGTCTTACTTCTAAAAGGTCCAGACTAGCCTTCAAACTAACACTAGTTTGAAGGGGACCAATGTGATTGAATACATGATTCTCTGGGGAGTATCTTACATCTAACCTTGATACTTAGAATATTGGATATCTCTGCTTGTGGAAGAATGAAATATGCTCCTATCTCAGATTACCTAAATCAACTTAAATTGAGTTGAAGACTTAATGTCAGGCCTTTAAACTAAGAAACTGCTAGTGGAAACATTTTTTAATTAATTTATTTTTTGTTATACAATTTTCATCTTGATAAGAATTTTCAAATAAGAATATAGCTGTTCTTCCTCTAGAATTCTGTTTGTCTGGGAATGCAATATTCCATAGTTTCATTTTCTGTTTTTTAATTGTGGTCAATGAGGTAAGTTTCTTGAAGACAGGACACAGTTGAATCTTGTTTACTCAACCATTTCTCAATTCTACCTATTTTTTTTGGTAATTGCACATTTTTTTTGCGGGTGTATTCATCTACGCATACCTGTGCCTGTGGAGGCCAGAGCAATGATATCAGGTGTCTTCCTCCAGTGACTTCTACCTTACCTTTTTAAAAACAGTGTCTCTAGGTGAACATGAACCTCACTCTTCAGGCTAGACCAGCTGATCAGCAAGTCCCAGGGACAGTCAGTCCTAAGTCTCTATCACTCCGGCTTCTGATGCTGCTGAAGTTAGAGACACAGGCAACTGTGACCGACCACTTCTAGGTCCTGGAGATCCTTCAGGCTGCATATTTTCTGGAGTGTTAACCTTTATATTTAGAGTTATCCTTGCAAGGTACGTACTGAGTTCCTCCTTGTTCGTTTTAACACTTTGTGTGTTTCACCGAGGTAAAAATGTTTGTAACCTTTCCAAATCTCTGCTAGTCTTTCTATTCTTAATACGTGATATTTTTCTCCCTCAAGTTATCATGATATTGTCGACCTCCATCCTCTGTGTGTACTATTCCTTCTTTATTGTCTTCTTTTGTGATGGCTTAGTGGTGATGAATTGTTTTAATCTGAGATTAGCATGGAAAGACTTTATTTCTCCTCTGATTTTAAAGTATAAATCTACTAGGCATAGTAATCTGGGTTGGCAATTGCTGACTTTCAAAGTTTAAAATATATCGGTCTGTGGTTCTCATCCATTACAGTTTCTGCTAAGTAGTCTCTTGATATTATAATGGGTTTGCCTTTGTACCTAACTTGGAGCCTCTGTCATGTGGCTTCCAGGATTTCTTCTTTGTTCTGTTCCATCTGCATTAGAGCCATAAGATGACATGGAAAGGTGCTTATCTCGACATGTATAATTTCAAATTCCTCCTTTCCTTGCCTAGCCATGTCTTTCCCAAGATATAGGGACTTTTGTGGAGTTTATGCGGTTAGACTATAACTTGGTTCCTTCTTTTAAAAGTTCATAGGCTCGTTCTCTCCATCATGTCCCAGTGTTCCTGAAAGTTGTGGTTATGATTGCTATGGGATTTTTTTGTTGTTGTTTGTTCATGTTTTGTTTTGTTTGTTTTTGTTTTCTTTTCTCCACTCTCCCCCCCTTTTTGGTTTGGCTCTGACTCCCCAGGATCTCTATTTCTATTCTTCTTTTTTTTATAATCTACTTCATGAATGCACTTTATTCCTTCTTCAATTAATTATTCACTCCTTTACACTTGGGAATAATTTTTAAACTGTACCATTACATTCTTTGTCATTTCAAGCATTTTGGTATTTTTAGATTTGGTCTCATCTGTTTAATCACAATTCTTGGATTTCTATGTTTTCTTGACTCTCTCACAGTGGAATCAACTGGAGAAAACTTCTTACCACATCTTATCCCAGATGATTTTTTGTTTGTTTTGTTCCAAGGTGGGGTCTCTACATAGCCCTGGCTGTCCTGGACTTACTCTGTAGACCAGGCTGACCTCAAACTCACAAAGGTCCACATGCCTCTTCCTGCCAAGTACTGAAGTTAAAGGCCTAAGCTGCCATGCCCAGGAAATATTATTTTATTTTTATCACTTGTTTTCTAGGACAAGAAGCCTGACAAAGAGAAGCATAATACAATGCTTAAACAGAAAGTTAGCCTTGCTGAAGAACAAGAAGTCATGAGACCACCAAAGAAAAGGTGCACTGTGAACATGGTGTCAAATAAATCTTTTGAAGCCTCTGACAAGGCAAAGGGAGAAGGTAAATACACCATTGTTGGCTAGACAGATACTGGCCATATTTAAAAGTTAAAGAAAACACGTGTGAAATGATGAAAGTGATACGAGTTGCTTCAGGGAGATCAGTGGGTCCAAAACAGCTCCAGTAGCTAGTGTAAGACAAGGTCTAAGAGAGGAGAATGTTCCTCCCACCTGGCCCTACGTCTCCTTCACCTATCCTCTCCTTTCCTCCATATTATAATGCTGTGCGGATTCCTGTCTTCTGTGTCATCAACACTGTTGAAAAGTGTTGTGGACATGTCTGCAATGGTCAGGAATGACACTCATCCCTCAGCAGCTTCTGATGCCGACAGCCATCCCTTTATTCATGACGTGTGTGTGTGTGTGTGTGTGTGTGTGTGTGTTTTGCCTGCATGTGTATCTATGTACCACTTGTGTACCTGTTGATCACAAAAACTAGAAGAGGGTATGGGATTCCCTGGGACCGGAGTTGCAGATGGTTGTGAGCTGCAGTATGAATGTTGAGACTCAAACCTCTGTTCTGTGGAAGGGTAGCCAGTATTCTTAACCACTGAACAACATCCTCAGCCCCAACTTCCTGGGATGTTTGTTCTCTAGAATATTCTTCAGTTTTGTTTTCTTTTGGTTTGGTTTTTTCCCTCTGGATGAGGCCTCCTCAATTGTTTTCCTTCTGTTTATCTTCTTGTCTGGATAAATTATGTAACATTTTCTAACTCAGGCCATTGAAATCTTTTGTGCTTGTTCACTCTGCCATGATTAATTCCCACAGAGCATAAAAAAATAAGTGTTTTCTGCTCAGTATCCTTTCCATCTGTACCCACTTCCTAACAACCTCTCTCACCTGGCAGCCAGGGTAAGGATATCAGTAGGTAAATATAGTAGGCCATATTCATGCTGGAAAAAAAAGGGAAGGAACAAACCCATTCTGTGTCTCCAAGCATGCAAGATAAAACCTGACTCCTGTCCCTGATCCATCAGACTCTGCTTCCTTCATCCTACAATTATCTGGGTCCCAGTGGTCACCTTCAGACTTCTGTGTATATTGTTGACTACACAAATCCTATGTCCCATTCCCCAGCTCTCACTAGACCCTGGTCTTTTTTCTCCACATCTACAAAGGCTGCCTCTGTCTCTTCCTCTGTTTTGCTCAGAGGACACCGCCCAGAAGGGAGATCCAAGCTGGTGGCCCTGTGAGCACCTTCTGTTGCTTCCTTTCACATGTTTGTTAATTTCTTCCCCAACATGAAAACACCAGAGTGTGTGATTCCTCTCTGATGTCTCTGTGACACTGTGAATTCCTAGGAGAAGGGTAGTACCTGTGTTTGGCATTCAGTGTTTATCCCTAGCATCTGGCAGGTGCTGGGTAGAACAGAACACAATGACACAAAAGTGTCAAAAGGAAAGGGAAAAGAACTTGCCTTGCCAAAAAGTGAAAGATGAGTAGAGTCTCCTATAGATGCAGAGTTTTAGTGAAGGTGTGCACAATGCATTCACACATCTTGTGACACCTTCAGCTTTTCAACTTGTAAAGTCTATCAAGACGACACTAAGCTATAAGTACCAGGGATCTGTTGTTTTTTCATTGTCCTGTCCAACTAGTTTGTGCAAATGATTATGGAGTCACAAGGTAGGCTTTTTTTTTCTGCTGTGTCCTGGGGTCAGTCTGTCATGGTTGAGATTCCTCTCTGCTGTACTCTCCTCTGAAATAAATTTAGACCCTGATCAGCATGGGAGTGCTCATACAGAGGCATGGAGCCCACCTAGTTCACAGCTCAGTCTGTTACTTTGCTTTCCAGGTGCTACTGTCAGCAAGGAAGCCCAGGTGGGGACGTTGCCAGGTAGTTCTAATGACTACTCACGAAAATGTGCTGAAAGCCAGAGTAAGCCTGTGGCAGGAGATGCCATTCTCCCCAGTCCAGAAGATTCTCTACCTGACAACTCTCTTCATCGCAAAGATGATGATGACATCACCGTTACAGGGGGAAGTGTTAGCAGTGCTCACTCTGTAGGCACTGTCAATGCCCCAGTAATGCCTTCAGCAGAATCTGGGCCCTCTGCGTCCCTGCTGAGCCCAAATGTAACTAACTATGAAATAAAATGTGCCCTGATGACGGAAATTCGACGATATGGACGACGTAAGTACTCAAAGAATGGTTAGTAACAGAGACAAGGCAGTTGTCTCCAGTTGTATGATTAGAATAACCTGAAACTACCTCCAGAGAGAGAGCCTTTGCCACAACCAAGGGTTTCTATAGAGTTCCATGCAGTCACTCTTTGACTAAAATATCTCAGTAGAGTCCATCTTTCATCTGTATTGTCACTTGGTTATTGCTCACAAGAATTGTGTCAGTGTCTGTGCATACGATACCTACCATTTCACATTCTTGACCAGGAAGCATACTACTGGGGAACATACAGATTCACCCAGATCCTGTTCTATTTCATTTCTAAGAAATGTTGAAGTATTCTTATATTCTCTTCAGAATATGGAAAGATTTTCAAGATTCTTGAAGAAGTGCCAGGGCCTCCGGAAGTCAGGATACAGTTTGTCGAGTTCACCATCAAGGAAGCGGCAAGGTGGGTGCACAGAGGGACTACACATCTTCTTCCAGCTGTTGGGTCACTGCAGTGGTTGGGTGAGGGGCGGGGCAGTGCCTGCCTTGAGTTTCCTTAGTCCCCGGCATTATAGTGAAGGCTGGTGGCACAACCATTGAGGTAGATGTCACCTGTGTTTGACACAGCCTTGTACGTTCACTCATCTCTCCTTTGATACTGCGGTCTGATATGGGCTCTGATCCTTAGCAGATACCCTTCATATGGGCTAGAGCACCTGGTACCTGGGATGCACTCACTATTACCACAGATGTGGTGAGCCGTTGCTTTGGATCACACAGCACTTCCTCCAACACAAGTTTTCTGGGTATCTTTTTTTTTTTTAATTTTATTTTTACATGATGTGTATGTTTATTTTCAGGTTTAAAAGACACCATTTAATAAATTATCTTGAGAAGATACTGGAAAAATTAATGGCAGAAAGGTCTCTCAACAATGATGATCTACATCCAAGCGTGTGATCCTGTTATTACAATGGTCAGAAAGATGCAACAATTGGTTTACTGTGTTTAGAATGTAGTAGGAGAATGCTGAAGCCCCCTGGCATATATTAGCTAAGATGACTACCTCTAAGAAAACTGCCTTAAACTACGCTTAATAAAAGATGGGCTTTCACCCTATGTGTTTTGTTCGAAAGTATGACTTCTTGCTGGTTTGCTGATTCTTTTTCTCTTCCCTATGCAGGCTAATGCTATTGTCTCATCAGGTAAATATCATGACAAGCCTGCATTTTGCAGGAGATCACAAGTGTCATCACGGGTATTTAGAAATGTCACTTTTCCCAAGTATTGTTTTTGTTTTGTTTTGTTGGGACTGGTTCTCACTGTATAACTCTGGCTAGCCTGGAATTCATGATGCAGAACCCACAGAGATCTGCCTGCCTCTGCTCCCTGAGTGCTGGGAATACAGCCATGCACTGCTGCCATACCTGGTACCCCAACCATCTCTTATCCCATTGTCCAGACATAGCCCCTCAACAAGTCATGGTGTTCGGCTTAGTGAGCTGTCTCCAAGTCTTTTTACTTAACCATCAAGGCTGAGCCATCCCATCCCATGTCCTGTGTGAACTGGGCTGCCATAAAGGTCCGTCACCTCTAATGAGAAAGCACAAAGGACTCCACACCTTTCACACTGTCCTCCTTAGCCCTGGTACTCGTCTCACGATCATTTGATAACCAAGTCTTATACTCTGGAAATTAAAGAATCTTTCCCCATATAGTTGTTGAGTTGTTTTCTTTGTCAACTGGCCACAGGGAACTAAGTATACCAAAAGCCACAGATGTCAAACAAGAAAATTTTCTTTTTTTTTCCTAGACCCTACTCCAAGCTAACATAGCCTTGCTCAAAATTTTAGCACATTACCCTGAGGTAAATTCTATATCTACTATGCCACACATAACTTGTAGCTCTGTCTCCTCCTAAATGTTTTTATTTTAAAGCCAAGATGCGGGTATTCGTTCATTCTACAGGCACTATCTTAATATGCCTTGGATTATGTGATCACTGAAGTCTCACTCATTTCAAAGGCCCTAGTTTTGTTCAGGAATTATTTCTCATGTTATGTCTAGTAGGTATGCTGCCAGAGTATCTGGATTGGTTTCCATTTCCTGTTCAATGAGAATAATGTCACCAAAGGTGACAATGCAATATGTTGCAATGGTGCAATGCAAAGGTGCAATGCAATATGTTGGTAATCGATATCCTTAAGGGCTACATTACAATGTAAGCCTGAGGTAAAAAGTGATACTAGGGGGTGAAGACATGGTTCTATGAGTAAAGTACTTGCTGCACAAACATGAAAGCCTGAGTTCAAATCCCCAGAACCAACACAAAAAGCCAGGCATACTGGCTCACACCAATAATGCCAGTGCTGAAAGCAGTGAAGACAAGAGTATTCCTGGGTCTTTCTGGCTAGCAATCTGATCCGAATCGACCAGCTCCAGGTTCAGGGAGAGATGCTGCCTCAAAAACTAAAGTGGAAAGTGACTGATTTTTGTATGTGTGATACATATACACACATATGAACGTGTGTACTTTCACACATGCTTGCATATTCGAAGTGATATTATATTGGTTTTTCAAGTGAAGTCAAGCTCATCTTTGTGACAATCAGGTGCCCAGAAACATATTGATTGTAAAAACAAGGAACCCTTGTATAAAATCTCATTAGTTCTTGGAATAATCATCTGATTACAATTATTAACATTGCTGTCATTCTCTGAAATGAGTATGTGAGGATCAACACCTTCCTTTTTGTCAGTGGCGTTACAAATCACCACAATCTTTCCATGCATGGAGTGTCATTTTTAGTTTGCTATTACTACAGTGCTAGTGGCTTCCATTTGGCCTTTTCATACTACAATAGTTCTTTCCCCATAGGTCAGAGAACCAATGTATAATATTTACCATTTGTTGACTAAGTCTATTCTAATGATAATTTTCTGAATTTCATGTTATCACTAACAGAAAGTCAAGTTCAGGAACAAATCAGAGCAATGTGAGTAAAACTGAATTATCATTTGATCTCTGCTCTGACCCAGGAGCCACCGTGACATTTTGCTTTTTCGCAAATGAGTATTACGCCAGAGATGGTATCAAATAATCTCAGAACTGTGATAACTTTGTTTCTGCTTGACGGCACTGTGGAGGCTGTGCAGATTCAACATTATTTCTGAGTGTATCTGTTACAGTTATTAACAAGTGAGTTGCCCCTGTCCTATATATATATGTATAATTTTTTTCTTCCTTAACAAGAGTATGCGAGACTGGGAATTATAAGGAGCTGAGATTTAATTTTCTACAGTCCTAGAGGCTAAGAAGTCCAAGGTCAGGAGTTCACATCTGATGACGTCTTTCTTGCTGTGTAATAACATGCCAGAAGGCAGCATCTGGCTAGAAGAATTGAAAGATGGCCGACCTCACTCTATTTTATTTTACTTTATTATAGTGAGACAGACTCTCATGATGTAGCCCTGGCTGGCCTAGTATTCATGATGTGGACCAGGCTAGCCTTGAACTCACAGAGATATCCCTCCTAAATGCTGGAACTAAAGGTACATGCTATCACACCCAGCCAACCTCATTTTAAAACAAACCTGCTTTGGTGATTACTAATTCTCTCTAACAGTGACAATCCATGCATGAAGGGAGATCTCCTGTGATAGACATGTCTTAGAAGCTCTACATCTCTGGTCTGCAGATGTTGCTCAATTGTTCCAGGCCCTCAGATCTATCAGCATAAAAAAAAAGTTGTGAGGTTCTACTGCTCAACTCTGTTGCCTTAGAAAGTGAACCTCATGGGACACATTCAAACTATAGCATCTTCTTGGCACGGGTTAGAATAGCACTCATTTTTAAAACTCTACTTTATTTGAGATGTTTAGGCTTCAACTTCTCAACCCTATGTTGAGGGTCATTGGGTTCTTTTAGGGCTCTATACCAAACTCTGTTAATAGCAGATGCAGCCAGCAGGCTCCTTCCATGCCCCTGCACAGGAAGCATTTCCCTCCCTCAGTCTGCTCCAAACCGAAACACTGTCCGCCTCTCTGGTCTCTCCAAACAGGCCACAGGCCAACAGCACACACCAAGCCAACACCTTCTCTTTCTAAGCTCTCATGTTTATATTCTCAGAGCCCTAAACCATGCCGTTCTCCTTGCCTCATGTGGAAGGCTGTTACCAGCTGGCAAAGGCCACGCCCTGCAAAAGACAATTAACAGGTGTGGACAAACTATATGCCAAATCCCACACCTGGGTCTTAAAAAACATAGTTACATAACATAATTGTTTACAAAGACACCAAAGCTTCCATTACAGGTTGGAGTCATCCAGTCTGCTGATTAAAAGGTCTCAGTTTTGGGTGTCTACAGGGAGTATTCCACGGCACAGCATCCTTTAGAGTATTGAGCTCATCAAAAGACTTATTAATGCTGTGGGCATACAGACAACCAGTATCATAGCCAGGGCCTGAGAAAATGTGCAGCCCCAGAACAATAGATAAGCAGACAACATGGTGGAAGCTCTAATAAGAGTTTAGACCTACGGCAGAGTTGAGGGTCCCCTTCTTAGAGGTCTCAGAGGAGGCCAGAAGTGTTCTCAGTATAAACCTCCAGACAGGCTGTCCCTGATTCTTCAAAACTCAGAAGAGTCCACCTACCTTACAATGCATCATTATTCCAGTAACCGATCACTGGTCCATTTGGCAAAGGTTAGGACAACAGTTAACAGAGTAATCATTTTGCAGTGTAGCGTGCATGTTCATTCCTCAAGGGCAAAGCCACAGCAACTTCTGACAAACAGAACAGTCGTTAGAGAGGTGCCCGGGCTCTTCTTTGGAAATCATTTACAAAGTCATGTCCTCAGGGCATGAGACTAAACAGTTTTCTCCACGGTCAATTCACTCTAACATTGCAGTCTCATTTTGGCTTCAGGTGTCCTTTTTGTGAGTAGTCCAAGACCTAGCTGAGATTTTCCCTTAAGTTAGAATAAATCACCCTTGATCTGGATTTCAGCTCACTAACTGAACAAGTTGTAAGAGGCTCCTGTAACCTCTGATATGAAACCACTAAATTCAGAGCCTTGGTTTAATAAGCCCACATCAATATGTTTAGTCTTGTTCAACATTATTTTCCTTCTACCTTCATACAACACCCTTAAAATCTATACCCACAAGAACCTTCTATAGTCCTGCCTAAAGGGGGAAGACTTGGCGATCATTTGGTAAAATGCTGAAACTCCTCATGAGTTGTTTTGGGGGTTAGTGAGATAAAGGGGGTCAGTTGCAGCTTCTAACGAGGATCAGCAGAGCTCTGCAAAGGCCGCTAGTTCCTGAGAGATAACTACAGACTCTTCAGATGATGAAGTGACCTCCTCAGAAAAGAATCAAAGCTGCATTTCTGCTATGAAACACTAGAATACTTCAGAGTGAAGAGTCTGAGCTACTGAAAAATGTAAATATTTTGTGCTCCTTTCCAATATTTGAAACAGTAGTTCTCAACCTTCCTAATGTTGTTACCCTTTAATACATCTCCTCATCTTGTGGTGATCCCCAACCAGAAAATTATTTTCATGTCTACTTCATAACTGTAATTTTGCTACTTTTATGAGTCCTGATATAAGTATTTTGGAGACAGAAGTTTGTCGAAGTAGTCATGACCTATAGGTTGAGAATCAGTGATTTGAAGACTATTTACTTATTTATTTAAGATTTATTTATTGGGCGGGGCAAGATGGCGGCGCTGGGAGGACTCTCATTCTGAGGAGCAGCACAGCAGGATTGGCACAGTGACCAGCAATCAGAACTCGCGGCCATAAAACACAAGTGGTTGTGTTTCTCAGGTGAGAGGATACCCCACGGTGGGGGATTCAATCAGCTTTAACTCACCTGGCTAAACCCCGGAAGAGATCCCGGTTCCGCCAGGCTCTTGGTCGCCAGCCCAGATCTACACGCCAGCGCTATCTGGT